CCTGGTCGAGTCAGAAAAAAATTGATGGAAACAAATATATACCACTTTTAGGAGTCAAAAAATATTTATAATATGTGAATATTTAAATTTTAACCAGGCAATTGCTCTAATGCCAGTAGAAGTTCAAAAGCAAACTTGGTGTCTAAGATAATTTATTAATATTAACAGTTTTTCCAAAATTGAATAAATCTATTTTTTGTTATTGAAGAAGAACCTCGTATAGTGTCATAGACCCGTAAGGTTGTTGGAGTACCTCGTCAGCAATAAAATGTTATACAAAACAAACACGTGAGAATGGAATATATTACAATGAAAACACAGTTGTAACAAGATACAGGACTTGCCAAAAGCTACCATCAAAGAAATGGTGTTCGTTACAGTCAATTTTTTTCACTTATAAAACACGTCTGTGTCTGAGTTCTACCACCGTTTGGCAGCACATTGGACTTTGGAACTTGAATGATTAGAAGTGGAAAAAGAATTTTCTATGCGGAAATCTTGAGAAAGAAATATCGATGAGACAACTAATCTATGAAGCAACCTTCTAAAAATTCTACAAGAGATTTTGATAACTTCATGACCAGTCAAGGATTTAGTACAAGTTCTTATAGTTGGTGTGTATATGAATGCACTAACAAGATTTTAATACGGAGCTATCAGATTTTCAAGGATCATTCTTAGAAAAACTTGTCTTATCACAAAAGGAATAAATTTAATTTAGAAGATTTTATCCCGTTTTGGATTGCAAATATCTTCATCAAATTTGTAGAACATGATTAAGATAAATATTCCTTTATAAACTGATTTTGTGAAATTAAATTAAATTTAAAATTTACTTTTTAATATAACATCAAAATTATAAATTAAATCCGTGTTATTTGTTGATACTTATGGTTGTTTTTTATATTAGAAGATCATTTTCACATTTGGCACTTAATTGATGATTTGTTTGAAAAAAATACTTCTCGAACTTAACAGTTTGTATTTCCAACAACATAAGTTAAGAAGTATATGGCTTTGACTGAAGTAGGAAAGGAAGAGATTTTGATTTTAGGAAATGAACTCATCTTGATCTTCTGCGATATGGCTGCAAATCACAGTTAAATTTTCTAGAAGATCCAAGATTTGTAAAAGATTGCCTTCGTACTATTGTTAAAGAATAGTTCTTCAATAACAGGTCTATCGGAATTAAAGAAATGGTTAATCTTATTTTGTAAGAAGAATCAAATCACGAAGATCAAAGGCGAAATTACCTAATCAAACTCTATATACGATTCAACTGGGTCACAAGTCATCCTATTTTTTTAATTTTTTTACAAATAGTGGCTCTACAAAAAATTATAAATATTAATTAAGATACACAATCTTTTTTACTTAAAAATGTAAGAGTTAAAATACCACTATTCGATTGTCCATCAAACTATAATTGATACATCCTGCAAAATTTTGTTTAAACATTAGGGACATTGTGATAACAAAAGTTAGTGACATATTAATTCAATATTTATTTCTTATATACTTGATATTATAAATGTTTAATAATTTCATTTATATTTTAATTATAATATATAGCTAATTAGTTAAACACTCTCTTGGACATCATGATATGAAGAAAACAAGTAACATAAAATACATATCAAACAAAAAAAAATTTAAACAGTTTTAATACATAGTGTTTTTATTGAGATAAATAGAATAACTAATTTAAAAGTAAATTAGAAATAAACTTAATAATTAATTTTTTAAAATTAATGACATCAAGGTATGGAATATATATATATATATATATATATAT